TTTTTGCCTTTTTATTGCGGTCGTTTTCCTATTGTATACGTGTTGTTATTCTAATCTGTTTTCCACATGAACATGGCTGTCTCGCTAAACGCCGAGACGGATGGACCTATGGGGTCCTCGTTTGATGAGTCTACTTCTGCTTGCGGACAGGTCAACTGTTCAGAGCCAGTAACAGATGCATCTGGTGGTATGCAGTGTGACGTCTGCTGCCGCTGGTATCACCAAAGCTGTACCGGCCTACAAGCTGACCAGTACCAAATGCTATCATCAAGCGTCCACTTTCTTTTCAGCTGCGCTGAATGCTGCGCTAAAAGATCGACGCGCCCGGCTGTCACCGGTGCTAAACTTTCAGCGTTGGCTTCAAGGTTGGCAGATGTTGAGTTGGCGATAGCTAAACTCGCCTCTATTGCGTCGCTTGATGCGAAAATGGATTTGCTTTTAAAATCCCTAAATATTTCGTTTGAAGACACAGCAACAGCCGGCAACCTTGCTGACGATCCATCCACTGGAGTCTGTCACTCGATCATAAAGTCGCACATCCTACCGGCCAATCCAGGTAGCATTGCTGGCGGTCCTCATGATCCGATCAAAGTGAAGAAAAATAGGGTGCGGAAATACCAAAAGCCCTCTGCTAAACCCAGAGAAATAGTTGCCACGGCATCGAACGAGATGCCGTCTTTGACAGTCGTAAAGTCGTCTGAAGATTGCACACAGAACCTTCCACAGACGCTGACTGTCTCGGCCGCCAGCGAACCAGCCTGTGCTGACGAAATGCTGGTAACTGCCCAATGCGATACAAAGTCAACGGCCCCTGCTCCAGTGAGCCAAAAGAAGAAGCGGACAAGATCTGCTCGTAAAACTTCGAAGGGGCTTGAAGACTCAGGAACCAGTAAGACGCCGGCAATAGAGCGGAAAACCTACGCTACCGTTGCTTCGGCGTCGTTTGGGAAGCCAGCGACAATCCGCCAGTGGTGAAAACAGCTGGTATAGGTGTCGAATCAAAGGCACGTGGGGTAAACACTCCCCGTCGTGCCGACTCTTTCACGGATAGTAGCCTTATATTCCGTAACGTTACTGAATCTGAGGCTGTTCTCCCAAGGGAACGCATCTTGGATGACATCAAGTGGCTGAAACTGTGTGTCAGCAAGCTGCTTCCACCTGGTTTCCCTGGTGTCACTGTCAGAAAGCTGACCAGATTGGGGAACGTTCCTATCGCTACGCCAAATCCACGACCCCGACTACTTCGCGTGGTCCTTTCTACCCCGGAGGAACGCAAATCGTTACTGCGATTTGCATTCAAACTTAAGGGTAGTGGTGTCAGCGTTCAGCCGGACCTCCCACTGGCAGATAGGTTGAAGTTAAAGGAGGCTATCAAAGACCTCAAAACTAGACGGGCGGCTGGTGAACAAGGCCTCCGTCTGGTGGGTTTTCAGGTGGTCAGCCGGAAATTACTTTCCGCCCTATCAGAACCAATCCTGATGGCGCAAGACCCAGGGATGGTCCTGCCGACTTCCTTGAGGTAGTATTTAGCAACGTGCCTAGCCTAAGGAACAAGGTGCACGAGTTGGGTCTACTTGTAGACAAATCTCGTCCCGACATACTTGCTTTCACTGAGACGTGGTTGTCTCCGGATATCACGGACGGTGAGGTATATTTACCTGGCTACGCGCTGCTTAGAACTGATCGCTCCGTTGGTCGCCAAGGCGGAGGCGTTGTACTGTATGTGAGCTGTAACTTAGATGTGTTGAGGACTTGCACATTCCAGTCGTCGGATCAGACTGCTGAAGCCCTATCGGCTGTTTTGTGCACTTCCTCTACCCAGTTTACAGTTATAGTGGTATACAGAAGTCCTGGAAGTTCCTCCAGGGGTATACTTGACTTTATTCGCACTCAGTCTGCGAATAAGTGTTTAGTTCTAGGGGATTTCAACCTCCCGGAAGTCTGTTGGGCCGATCTTTCTTGCAATTCGGCATTAGGAACATTCGGTGCAGACTTCCTTGAACTGACTCTCCAAGTGCCTTTGCACCAGTTCGTTGACTTTCCCACTAGGTATATGGACAACCAAATGCCATCTACTTTCGATTTGGTTTTCGCTAAGTCCCTGGACTTCGTGACTGTCGTTTCATGCGGTGCACCTCTAGGGTCCAGCGATCACGTATGCATATCCTTTCGATGTGCTCTTTCAAGGCACCAAGAGACCGCTGTTGAATTACTTCGAATATTTGGCGGGCGGACTTTAGTGCAATGCGAACTAAGGCTTCAGTTCTGAACTGTGAGATTTCGATGGCTGACTCTGTCCAGTTAGCCTGGGATAAATTTAAGACATACCTTACGGAGGTTTCCGCTCCCTATATTCCACTCATTAGGAAAAAGGGTTAAGAGCACAGCCTCCATGGATGAATACCACAGGCAAGTACCTACTCAAGAAACGGACTAGATGCTGGCAAACCTACCAAGCAGCTCCATCAGCCAGTACCTATGATAGTTACCGAGAGAATAGAAATAAATGTAAGCAACATATCAGAACTGCTCGTCTCCAATACGAGCAGGGTTTAGCGGACTCAGCCGCAGCTAATCCCAAGAAGTTTTTTGCTTACGTTAAAAGACGCAGCGGGGCAAAATTGTCTATACCAGCTTTATTGCGAGCAGACGGTACCCCTGCGCAAACTGACTATGACAAGGCTTGTATACTGAGTGATCAGTATACTGTGGTCTTTGCTCGGGAGACCTCTTTACCGCAGGTTGAATTGGTTTCAAGAGTTCCAGAGGATTCTTGCTTAGCTGAATTTAGCATAACGGAGACTCAGGTCTTCGAGCTACTGCAAGGCATTAATCCCTCTAAATCTTCTGGTCCTGATTCAATTCATCCGAAGCTGTTGCATGAACCGGCCAGTGAGCTGAGTGGTCCGCTCACGTGCGTATTTTCAATATCGCTGGACAGCTGCAGCCTACCTTCGGAATGGAAGGAGGCAATCATCTGTCCGATTTTTAAGGGCGGTGACAGCGCTCTACCCGCGAACTACCGGCCTGTCAGTTTGACAAGCGTAGTAGTCAAGTTGTTCGAGAAGCTGATAAGGGATTCAGTGGAGAACCACCTGAATCGATTCAACCTTCTCAGTGTTGCACAACATGGATTCCT